GGTCCTATCTGTCTGCCAGCCTTCACTCCATCCCACGAGACTGATTAATGAGTTTGACCTGAGGGCTTTCTGACAGAGAACGACAGCGGATGAGGGAGCTTCAGAACGTTCTGCAGAGCAGTATGGCGTCTGAAGTGGAGATATTTTTAAGAATGTTCACTCACCAGCTCTAAAAAACATTGTAACTCTGTACAGCCTGACGTATGAATTAATAGTTCAAAGTGGAGCAGCTTGCTGAATCTTTAGACAAAAAAAAGGAAACACCTCAACTTTACTCAGAACAAACAGAGCAAAAACAAGCTGATATGTATATGGACAAAAAGTAGGATGAAATTCTAACAGCTTGTAATGTAAAACAAAGAGATCTTAATAACAGTAACATAAACTGCATACAAATATGTTGTCACTCTATATCCGCTCCCAATATGTCTTAATAAGATTAGATTTAAATGTTTAGTTTAATAATCAAAGCTTTGCAGCATCAAAACATTATGCAATGCAATACAGTGGTGATTGAGAGATGAACAAATAAACCTTCCTCAAGCCTGATGATCAATATTGAAACTTGCATTTTAACATGATTTTTCTAAAAAAATGGTAATAATAACCTCCTTCAGTCCAGTAAGTGTTCATCTTGAAATATTACTTAGTATGAACGCTATTCTTGTATTTAAAGATTTCACAGCAAAAAACATTTTTACAATAATACTAAAAGAATCCGTGTATCATTCGATCATTCATTTTTTGATTTAATATTGAAAGTAGAAAAATGAAAAAACGGCTCCTCTTTCGTTTTTTTTTTTTTTCCAAAAAACGAAAAACGAGAATTCAGCTTAAGTTTTAATTTTTCGTTCATGGGTGGAAAAATTAATAAACCGCTTGAATATTCAATTTCTACATGTAGTCACTTTGGAATAAATCACAGTAGGCCTATGTATCATGATAAAAAAAAGTGACTTTACACTCTGTAAAATACGGTAGGCTATAGCAAATTATTTCACAGACCCCCTATCACTTTAAGAGCTGCTGGTCTACACAGAAGAAAGACCTGTCTAGACTCTGCCCCGGTACGAGTTGTGTCGATCTATTCATTAGTCTGTTTGATGAGAAAAATATGAAATTGATAAAATGGGTTATTAATCCATACAACTGCAGCAGCAGAGGACTATTATTCTGCTGCGTGATACTGCAGAAGAACTGATGACTGCACGGTTTGATCTTCGGCTGACCAATCAGCAGAAAGGGGCGTTTAATTCCCGCCCACGTGTAGAAATCGAATATTCAAGCTGTTTATTAATTTTTCCACCCATGAACGAAAAATGAAAACTTAAGCTGAATTCTCGTTTTTGTTTTTTTGGAAAAAAAAACAAAAAACGAAAGAGGAGCCATTTTCTAATTTTTCTACTTTCAATATTAAATCAAAAAACGAATGATCGAATGATACACAGATTTAAAAGGCCTTTTACTTGCTGAAAAAAGTATAAGTCAAATAGACAGAAGGTACGAAGTAGATTGTGAACAACAAAACTTAAAAAATGTGGCAGCATTTCTCTTTTTTGTGTAGTTTAACTTGGAGTACTAAAATAACTAGAACTTATAAATGACAATTAATAAAAAATATATGCAAACAGAATTACTAAAACTTTACCTTAATGTAAAACAGAAAATGTAAAAATAAAATAAAATTAAATATTAACCAAAACTGTAATTGTATTTCAGTTATACTAAAATAACACTGGTTTGCGTAATCATAAAACTTTTAGCAGTCTTAAGGTGCCCCTATTATGCCATTTTTAAGGTTACTAGTATTGGTTTCAGTCTCCTACAATAGGTTTACATGCATGCAAGATATGCATTTAATATCACCTTGTTTTCCATCGATTCTCAAACGATTCGTTCAAAGCAGTTTTAAGATTCGGTCTCTCTAAACCCCTCCTTTCTGTGAGCCTGCTCTGCTCTGATTGGTCAGATGGCCTAGTCTGTTGTGATTGGTCTACTGCATCAAAGCCACTAGAAGGCAAGCCTGCAACCTTTAGATAAAAAAGCGTAACAGCTAATGCTAACGCTTCCGGTTTGCCAGTACATGGGAAAGGAGACCAGAGGCCGTTTTTTTTTAATGGATGTCAACGGAGGAGAGGCTTCACTACGCTGAATAAACAGCTTTTTAGAGGAAACAGCTTATCATTAGAGATGCACCGATCGATCGGCCAGAGATCGAAATCGGCCGATTTTCCTCATGATCGGCCCGAATCGGTGATCGGTCGGTCAGTCTCGCTTCTTTCCGATTTCGAGCCGATCCATTTTGTTGCCAGCGGCACAGACAGCAGTATTGAAGTGCACAGGAAATAAGCAGCAGTCATATTTAAAGCAGTTATAATTAATATTGAGTACTGATTGATGTTCACTTGGATTTTTTCCCCATGGAGGGGAAATAACTTAATACTGTCATTTATAGTCCTATGGTAAAATGTATATTTTTAATCGTGTAACGTTACGTTCAAAATAACTACAAAACGCTCTCTTCTCTCCGACGACCCCTTCTCTCTCACACACATCTCATTCGCTCCGGTTAAATAGTGCTTGTATTGTGCATTATTTTACTCATTCCCGCAGGTTTCGCTCTTATACCAAACGCGCGCGCACCCCCACTGATCTATATTAGTGGAGCGCACAATCCGCGCTCAGTCTCAAACAGCTTGTGAGCCACAAATACCAAAATGAGTGGCTAACTGCGCTAAAACGTTGAAATACATACAAAATTATGTCAAAATGCCTGTCTTGGCGAGTATCCAGTTAAACACAGTCAGTTTTGGAACGTTAAAAAGTTGAGAAAGAGAATGCATGTTGTGTAACAGTATATTGGGTACGTGGATAAACTCTTAAAGGCACCGCAGTCCAATATTCCTGCTGCTGTTAATCAAAGAACAAAAGACAAAGAAAATAATTTTCTGCTCTTGACTGAATACGTTTTATAACTTTAATGGTAAGCATTCATCTGTATTTAATTTTTACAATGAAGACTACAGAAATTAAAGTAATCAAATGTAAAATAACATTGGATGTGTTATGTTACATTTGATTACTTTAATTTCTGTAGTATTTCTTACCTGAATAAAAATTTACTTAACCTGAAAAACTTTATTCTTTTGCATTTATTTGTGCTGCTGTTTGCCATTTTTTTTATTTGTTCTTATTTTATTATGTTTGATCTTCGGCTGACCAATCAGCAGAAAGGGGCGTTTAATTCCCGCCCACATGTAGAAATCAGAAATCGGTATCGGCCAAGAAAATTGCAATCGGTGCATCTCTACTTATCATTTAATGAATCAACAGCCTATCGGCTAATCTTCAGCATGTTTTACACTAAACAATATTTTTGGATTGAACTATTTTTACAGTTTACACCCCAAAAAAAAAAAATGCAGTTTTATAAGAGAATGTGATTGGTTATTAGGGCACACGTGATCCAAGTTGACCGTTACGCTTTCTCCGATAGTAAGTAATACAGAACCTCGTATCTCCCTATAGTAAGACAATCTCTGACCGCATACAGTGTGTGTCAGAAATGATACGCCTGTTGCCATAGTTACGTATTTTTGAATGCTCAATATAAAATATGAACGTCTATTATTTATCATGCATACAGGTTGTTATTCAGTGGAGCCAGCTGGTCCAAATAAACTGGGAATTGAGCTCATTTTTCAAGAGTGAGCATTTGTGAATCCCGTGTTGAACTCCCCAAGATTAGAGAAACAGTCATCAGTAGAATGCCGTGTTTGTGGGTGGGGTCAAGATGTTCGCAATCAGCTAACGTAGAACATAGGCGGGAATTATGCAAATGTGTTACCCCGTGATGTGTAGCCATCACGGAAGTGGGATTCGAATTACTTACGACTCATTTCAGCTGTTTAGAGTCGATTGTTTCTTTTGGGAGACAATAACTTTATTTATTGTACACTTTCAGCTTTGCAGATCGTTGACATTCACATACAGCTACATTACACACTGCATAAAAGGCAATATTGGAAATGGCATAATAGGGGCACTTTATTTTGGAATTTCCTTTCATGGATTCAAGTTTCTCTTGTACCTTCTTATGAACTGAGGTTTGAAATATAAGGTGTAAGTTTGTAAACCTCATAAATGAATAATGACAACTCAGCGAAAGGGTCTGCTGTGCTCCGGAGTATGGGAGAAGTGGAAGGCAGACTTTATCAAATATTAATATGATTCTGCGATCATCAGGCTGAACATGTCAGAGTGTGTTCATTTTCTGAGCCTGCTGCTGTTGGCGATGTTAGTCTGAGCTTGTGTGTGTGTGTGTGTTACATATACTGATCCTGTGTTTAATTAGTGAAGTGTTTGTGTGGTGTATTTGTCTTGCTTTGTGACCAGCAACGCACAAATACTACATTTTCTTTTTAGCTCAGAATTGATATTTATGAAACGACACTGATGATAATAAGAAATCGGCACACTAGAATGATTTCTGAAGATCATGTGACACTGAAGACTGGAGGAATGATGCTGAAAATTCAGCTTTGATCACAGAAATAAATTACATTTTATAATATATTCAAATAGAGTACAGTTATTTGAAATTGTAATAATATTTCACAATAATTCTGTTTTTGCTGTATTTTTATCATGATAAATGCAGCCTTTGTGAGCATGAGAGACTTAATTCATAAACATAAAAAAATTGTATTGTGATGTGCATGTTAGTGCTTTATACTGCAGTAAATAAAATAAATTTATAAATTTGAATCAATAAAATTATACTGCAGCCCGACTTTGTCATCAAAGTTGTGTTGACTTGATGGTGAATTCATAAAGCGAACCCATGTTTGACATGATGGTATATTCACTATTTATTTGAAATGAATTAATGTTTGTTATTTTATATGTGGGATAAAAGTCATCTAGCATTGATACACCAGCTGTATGAACGTGAAGTCAGTGATTCTGTGGTTGATGGTGAAGATGTTTCGCTCTTTCAGAAATGGGCACGGATCTGCCGGGACCAGTAGTCATGCCAGGCGCTGTGGTGGGCACGGGTCAGGTCAGGATGGCGGGCGCCATGCCAGGGCGAGGAGGCAAGCGGAGATCAACGGGGTGAGTTATTATGCTAAACAGCATATTATTGTCATAATTATAGATGCTCTGTTCAAGATCACACTTTACAGTTCAAAATGGTGTCTTGCAAATGAAAAAATATAAATACAAAAGTCAGAAATACCCATTTTCATCTGATTTGCTTAGCTGTTTAAGTGGAATTGGGTACAACTGCACAGGTTTTGGCCCTTTTTGTTCTTTCTTTAATAGCCCATTAATCAATAACATTCAGGAATTACCTTTAAATAATGAAACTATATACATGCAAATTTTTTTTCTTTTCTATGTTTATAATTTCTTTCTACATAATTTCTTATTGCATCAGATGTGTAATTTATACATGTTTGTTAGTCTATTGAAGGTTATGTGATGCATGCATCTTCAAGAATCGGCTAAAAACACATCTCTTCCATCTTTATTTGACCCTCAAACTCTAGCACTCTCTATTCTAATTCTATTCTTTAAAACACACTTGTCCCTTTTAGACTTGCACTCTATTCATTTGCTGCTTGTTTTCTTTAAAAAAACAACAACTAACACTTGCTTTCTAATCTTTTTGTGTTCTATCTGTTTTCTTTTCATTTATTATACAATTAACAAAAGCAGAAAGACCTCTAACACTAGCTTGCTCTATTCTTTTTCTATTCTATCGGTTTTCTTTTTATTTATTATATAATTTAAAAAACCCTTGCTATGTGTACTACATTAAGCTAACTGAGACTTGTTATAGCACTTGTATATCATTGCTCTTTTGTTAATTTTGATTGCTTCCATTGACCTAATTTGTAAGTTGCTTTGGATAAAAGCGTCTGCTAAATGAATGACTAAATGTAAAATGTAAATGTAAATGCATGCATCAGGAACCATCCTGAATCAGGAGTGTTTGTAGTTGAATGCAGCTGTAATGAGCTGCTGAAATGATATGACTGTCTCTCAGCACCCATTATGAAGAAGCACTCATTTGTTTTCATTGTCTCTTATTATGTAACATAATGTTGTCTTATTGTGTATTATTTGTTTTGTTGAAAAGGTGTTCGGTGTTAATGAAAGGAAAAAAAACGAACAATTTCATTTATTGATGCACAATTCTCATGGACCTCAAGCACTGACATTACTGAGCTACATGTACTTTTGAATATTTTTCCTATTTTTTAATATATATATATGTATATATATATATTATTATTTTATTTTTTTTTGCCTTTTATTACGACAGGACAGTGCATTACTATATATATATATATATATATATATATAAGTATATTAAAATAGAAAACCATTATTTGAAATTAATAATATTTCACAATATCATTTTTTTTTTTTGTATTTCTGATCAAATAAATGTATTTTTTTTCTAATTAATTATATATATATATATATATATATATAATTCCAAGTATGACCTAGCCAGTGATCTCAAATATATAATTAAGAAGTGCCCAATTTTAGCGTATTAAGCTTCAATTTAAATTGAACACTCCTACTGTGGAAAACACTCTGTTTCATGATCGTCCTTCTAAAGTGCTGCTTTTTTTAGCAGTGCACATACATATTGTCCACAAATATGAGGTTTCCATGGAGAAAACAGTTCACCCACCCACACAAGACACGACAACGGCAGAGTGGTTCTGTTCTGCTACTTTATAAAACTGTTTTTATTTCATCACTAATGAAAACTAATGTCCTTCACATCAGAAATCAAGTAAAATATGCTTCTAGAACCTTGTTGTACTTTCTGATATTTGGCAAAAAAACCAAAAAAACAGCTCTGCTTATATGCATCTTCAAAACCATTTGTGAGCAAGTCTATTTGTGTTCTTGTTTCAGGATGGACTTTGATGAGGAGGACGGAGAGGGACCCAGCAAATTTTCAAGGCAAACTTTTTCCATTGTTTGCAAGCTTTCCAAACAATCAAATCAGAGCATGCACCATGTCCTTTCTTTTATATTTTCTATGGTTTGACCGTGTCTTTCAGCTGTGCCACAGCATTTGTGCCATTTCAAGACATCGCTCATGTTTTGTTGCTCTCAACTTATGGTTTCCTTTCAGTTCATATCCTTTTAAAGGAGCTGTATCCATAGTTATGCTGAGCCTGCCGGTAACAACGCTTCATTGTTAGCTGTAGCATTGGAATGGAGACACTGACCCCTGCTGGAGAGACAGGACACACTCCAGCAGTTCCTCTCCGCTTGGAGCATTGCTCGCTGCTGTAGAAAGCAATTTCAGTAGATTGTTGTTCTACAATCAGTAGAAATTGCTGTTGTTAATGAAACATCATGTTGTTGCTGCTTCTTTCCATGCAACACAGAATGATACACTGAAAATGTGTAGGATTTACTTTTGAAACAATTTCCCCCCAGAAATTGCTAGTAGACTTCATAACCAATTACAAAGAAATAGCATTGAATTAAACATTGAAAACTTGAAAGACTGAAATAGTATTTTCCCGTCAAGTGTACTTCAATAATCTTTGTTTTATTTACAGCTTCAAAACGATCATTTTTACAATGTACACAATGATAGTTTATGCTCCAAAGATAAAGCATTGCTTTCTTCTAAACAGTCCAGAACAATGCACTATATTTGTAGGACGTTATGACTGAAATCGTCAGTGACCAAAAGCTTTAAAATATCATCAAATCTCATAAAAAATAAACAACCGCATATGGGCTTGGAACAACATGAGGGGGATTAAACAATGAGATCATTTTAATTTGTTAATGAACTTGCCTGCTAAACATTATACGATAGCCATATATATTGATGTACTGGCTTTTTATGTCTGTTGTCAAAAATGTAAAAGACAAGCAGGCAAATGTGTCATAATTACAAAGATTTTTTTTATCTCTCTTTTTGATATTTTATAATATCATGCAATGCCAATGTTTGTATATAATGAGCTGTTAAAGTAATTTAAAACTAAACCCATAAAAATAAATAAGTTGCACCAATTTGCAAAGGCAACATATCTCATTTTCACATATATGTTTAACTTTTTGTGCCATCAGATTAACTTGTAATAAAAAATGTAATCATAACTATATAGACATATTAAAATAAAATATAACTAATAAAGATGACAAAAACAATTATTAAAACTAAAACTTATTTTAACTAAATTTAAATCAAAAATACCCGGAAATTTACGGAATTACGCAAAATACAAAAAATACAAAAAAATGTAAACTTAAAAATATTGAAACATAAATCATATTAATAGATTATAACACTGGATAACAATAACAAAAATAATATCTCGGTGACAGGGATGTAACGATTCACTCAACTCACGATTCGATTCACGATTTAGATTTTAGTTTTTTACAAAATGAGATTTAAGACCAATTGTAAATGAAATGTGACCTTTTATTATTGCTTGGACAAAATGCTGCACATTTCTTTGTGAAATTAAAATATATAACTATAATAATATACTAATATAGCACTTGCATATTATTGCTCTTTTGTTGGTTTTGATTGCTTCTATTGTCCTCATTTGTAAGTCGCTTTGGATAAAAACATCTGCTAAATGACAAAATTCAAATATAATGTAAATGTAAATAACAAAACTACATTGAAATTTTAAAACAAGCCCCAAATCAAATACATAAGTAACACAAATAAAATAAATCTCTTCATATAAACAAAATCAGGCTTTGTCTGTGCTCTTTCCTTTTAAAATTAGAGGCAACCACTGCATTTTAATCATGACCCAAACAAAGATGCTGCATACATGCAACATGAGCAGTTTTTAATCTAAATTACATTGTATAATTTCGAAATTTGAAGCAAAAACAGAATGGTTTGACTTCAGTTTTGTGAAACTATACATAAAAATATCTGCATGAAACCGAAACAGCAGACGAGCTGAATGAGAACGCAGATTCACTCTCTGCCAGCAGGTGGCGCTTAAAGCGTTTTTTTGGTTTCCGCTGTAAACAAAGCAGCGCTGCACTTGTGACCTTTAATATGCATTATACAGAGGCGAGATGAAAACAAAAAATACCATTTAACTTTTCTAAAGACAGTAAGTTCCCCTCAAACATGCATTCATATAAACTCCTACACCTAAATGAATCGCGATTTGTTTAGCATCTCAACTGATTTGAATCGTCACATATTTGAATCGATTTTCAACCGGCTCGCGGTTAATCGTTACATCCCTACTCCGTGATGTTACAGTAAAACCCAACTGAAGTGTCCAAATATTTCTTGGAGGCACTTTTTAGAAGCAGTTTTGCCCAAAGTGAGTTTATATCCTGGGATACAGACACCTCAGATTGTTTAGTTTGTCTTTTTTGTTGTTTTTCATTATCCAGTGCTCTCAGTCCATTATTATATTACCATATTCACACACTATCTATAATCCAAACCGTGCAGCATAATAAACGTGGCTCATGAGCACTTCATTTGAGCTGCAATCATAAGACCTAAAAGTGATGTAACAGACATTTTCAGGCTGATTTATCTTATTTTGATCTCCTCTCTCTCCCGTCAGGTATGACGATGATCAGATTCCCGGTGATAAGGAGCGATATGCCAGGTAGGGCTGTCTTGGGGAGGTTTCCTCAGGATAGCTAGAAATCAGGCCCCTGTCGCCGCTATGGTCAGGACCGACCTCATTCTCTCACCCTGGCCTCACACGAGCGACTCTATCTAGATCTAATCTTAGATGGGGGTTTAATTATCCTCAGCTGACACTCTTATCTGAAATTGTTGCGTTGCTTTGAACCATTGTGCTCCGTGGACTAATACAGCGGCCTGGCCTCCGAAGATTTATCGTTTAGCATTTTCTGCTTAAAAGATTGGTGCTCATCTATCAGCATTCCGTTTATCACCGGAGACTCCGCTAAATCACAGAAATGAAGTAATAAAGTCTTAAATTATCATCCTCTCTGGCACTTTTTTTTAACTGAATGTTTCAGTTGAAGAAGAAGTGTTGCAGTAGGTCAGTCCAAGGATGCATGAGCCACATACATTTATTTCTGTAAAATGAAAGTCCTGAATGCCTCCTTTGCAGTAATTCATAATTATGTATTTATCAATCAAGGTCAACATCGAATACGTATAAGTATGTGAGGGCAGACATAGGTAGGTGTCAATTATTGAGATTTCACAATTGCAATTATACAAGTGAAAGAAGGATCTCAAAAATATGCACACACACACAAATGTTTTTTATTTTTACACTGTATAAAATAAAAACCAGAGTTGTTCAAGGACCTGTGTGTGTGTGTGTGTGTGTGTGTGTGTGTGT